TAAGTCTTCAAGATGTAGCAATGTTAAATATTTCACTATAGAAAATTGTCTCCTTTTTATGGTTATATCTAACTCAATTAAGAGAGTCTAAAATGAACAGTCAGATAAAGTTTTTGGCTAATATTAAAGTACTTAGAGTCTCTAAAAGTAATTTTTAAATTGTGATTTATGAAATATGAGATAAGTATCAGACAAAAAATTTCTCATTTTATATAAAAAAATTCTTATAAACATTTAATAATAGTGATCCCGGTTAAAGGTGGTAAAACGGGCTGGCTTGCTGGTTATGGGTCAGCCTGCCACAGGCTCTAGACCATGCTGGCCGGTCCTAAAAAGACCGCCTCCTGGCAGGCTCCCATTTTGTCAGCTCGCGTCACTAACTTCCATCCTTTTTTTTTTTAAATTTTTACACATATATTTAAAATTTTTTAAATTAAATTATAAATTTTTATAGACCAAATTTTTCTTATTCTTATATTTTCATATAATTATATAATTAAATTAATCTCAAAAGTTGAAATATCAACATATAATTTATTATTAATAATTATTTTATTAGCATAAAAATGGTAAAACAATAAAGAAAATGAGAAATCAAATTTAGAATCAAAATCTCTAAAAAATACAAAGTTATATGTAAATTAAGTGAACATGATAAAAATATTTTTTATTAAAATTAAAATAAAAATTGTGAAAAATATAAAAAATGGCTAGCGGGCTAGCCTGCTGGTTGGCAGCTCTATAACGTGTACAGGTTGAAAAGGGTTATATTAAAATAGTTTTTATTTTTTTCAATCCAACTCGCTACTTTACTTTATAACAGGTTGGCGGGTTAAACCTACTGATTCTAATCCCGATATGATACACGCATGAAAGGGAAGTTTTATACTCCAATGTAAATGTATTTGTTGTTGTTTCCAAACAAGCATGGAAAAATTTAAGCATAATTAAGAGCGCATCCGTGTGGCGCCAAATCAGTACCAAATTAAGGCAGACTAGCTCAGACCATAGCAGAAGAGCGTGGTTGCATCTTGCAAAATGACAGAAGAAAAACAAAAGGTGTATGATTGGACTCTGAATTCTGATGTGGCAGGGCAGAGATGGCAAATCCCTTCCATTGGCCACTGATATTAGTGCAAATAATACCTTTGGAAAAAAACCAGTCTCGGGCCAGCTCCTTGCACAACATATCCCCACCAGGCTGTAATTTCAGCTTTTGGATTCTTACCACTCTCATGGGGTTTGATTTGACATTTGATCATCATTAGAACATTTTGCATACTCCAGTGTTCATATCATTAATGCTCTGACCACTGTAAACGACGTGGAACTGGACAAGCATGGAAAATTTTCTCCAACATTTGTTCGGAAAACATATAAATAATTGGAAAAATAGTTGAAAAACATCCCCAAATAAAAAAATTATCAATAAGGACTCATAATATTAGTATAGGTTTTGGTAACAATAATATAGGTTTTGATAATAAATTTTGTAAATGTGTCTCTGCATGCAATTTTTCTATTTTAGTAATTTTTTTAATGATTTTTCCTAAATAATATTTTAAAATATTAATATTCTTTTTTTTTGGTAGAGAAAAAACATTTTACTAGAATATTAATATTTTTAATATAAATATTCTAGTAAAAATATTGTAGTAATATAAAATATTTTTACTAAAAATATTAATATTCTAGTAAAATGTTTGTATTACTTTAATAAAAAAAATCTCATAATTCATCCTGAGTTTGGAAAAACATGACAATGGGGGAAAGCATGTAACATTGCAAGGGGTAGACTCAAATGGAGAATTGGTAAAGATCTTCCATTCCTCCAAATCACCTAGGCTTTGGAATACAACTGTTTGGAAAAAAAAACCTTATGTACCTTCCTCTGTTAAACTACACGCATTTGCAGTTTACTTGTTTCTCTCACAAAGTTCTCTAACCAACTTTATTGGGACGGCAGCTCTGCTGGAAATTACCAAGTGAAAAATGGATTGTCTCCTAACATCAAAAGTCTCATCTAAATCTAATATCCCCCTCGTGGATTCCTTTTGAAAATTCTTATGGGGCATCTCTCTCCCATTCAAGCATTCACTTCACAATGCTATTTCATATGTTGAAATACTCAACCACCATCATCCAAATGCTTTTACCTCTTCAATTGCAGTGGGGAAGAAGCACTTGAGCATCTCCTCCTATAGTCTCCTTAAGCTAGATCCCCCAAAAAAAAAAATCATCTCCGTTCTTTAATATAAGAGTTAGTTGACTAATTTGAGTAAATTAAAAAAATTTGTTAAGTTAGTTATTTGTAATAAATAAGTGTTTTCTTCTCTAAAATATCCTTGTGAATCATCTGAATTAGCTAAAATTACCATTTGATAGGATTTTTAACATATGTAACTACTACAAGGACTATTTTGAAATCAATTGATAAATATGAGAGAAAAAATGGATTAAAATCTTATATCTAAGACCAAATTAAAAGTCAAATTAGCTTTTATATTAAAGATCAAAATAAATAGTATGAAGCAATAGTAAATAACTCAACATCAAAACATGATGCGCATGTCTTGCTCATAAATACAAGAGAGTGGAATAAACTTCATTTTGCCTTGCCAACTAATAATTCGTTGGTTTGAAAAAAGATTTGACAACCTATACTAACAATCAACTAATGGTATTGTCATATGTTATATATGTCTATCTTGACTAAATATAAAATTGACTGATTTTTTATGGATGCTTATTTACTATCTCCATTTCTTCGTATGAGAGATGATTAGAGATTACATTTTTTTTATAAATATAAGATCTTGATTCATTTTATCACCAAATTTGTAATTTATTTTCTAAAGTATCCTTATTAATTACATATATCATGGAGTTCTCATCTAAGGGTAGTCATAAAAAAAATCAACTCATATTTGTTGTAAATAACTAAATTAATTAATTTTTTAATCTATCTAAACTAGTGAAATAGTTCTTATATTATTAAGTACAGGAGATAGTACTGTCTCATAATGTGAGCAAATATACCCAAGATAATAATATTAATTAGGTGGCTATGAGTACATATTAATAGACTTTTTTTTTTTTATGAATGCCTAGTTGGTTATCTACGTGATACCTTAGATATGATGTGACGTGTTTTGATAAAAAAATGGAGGATAAAAAGAAAATAATTGTTAGTAAATTCCAATTACAAGTAATTAGTTATCATTTACTATTCCGAGACTTGTTATTGCAGGCTGTTTTGTTGTTACTAAAACTTTTTAGTAATTATATTTTTTACTTGGAACTTCATAGCAATTTTCTCTAAAAAAATTGCATTACGCCCACATTAAATTTTGAAAAAAATTACAGAAAAATGACTCCTAAATTTGAAAATCCCCAGATGCTCACTTAAATAAGCAAAATTTCAGTTTAGATATAAGTGACCGAATTGATATTTTTAAATTTGTTAAAATAACCATATTGCCTCTTATTGTTTCTAAAAAAAAATATCAAGCACCCTTACCAAAGTTCCAGTTGTTGAGAAATATTTTTCTAAGGATTTTTACAACTTCAATAATGCAGTTAACAAGTTCTTTAACGCTATTAATAGATTTAACACTATTAAAATTCAAAAAATGATATTTTTACAATTTTAGTAACCTGGTTAACAAGTCAAGTAATGATATTAACAACTCTCATAATCATACTAATTGCTTGATAAATGAAAAAAATTTGATGCACAACTTTCATAGGGAGCTAATATTAAAAATATCAACTTTTATAAGAAAATTTTGTTAATGGCATTATGAGAGATATTAATATCGTTATATGATTTGTTGACCATGTTATTGAAATTGTAGGAATACTATTTTTTTGAATTTCCTGCGAAATTTGCTGTTAATTATTATATCAAACTTGTTAATAGCGTTACAAAACTTGTTAACCGCGTTATTGAAGTTGTACAAATCTTTAAAAAAATAGTTGACAGCCGCCAGAGGTCATTGGCCAGTTACCAAAGCTCCAGTGACGGTGACCCACCTTAACTTCCGGGGCCAGAGGCACCGCTGAAGTTCCGGCAACTGGCTGGCCATTGAGGGTGCTTGGTTTTTTTTTTTTAAAAAAAAAGCAATATGGTTATTTCAGCAAATTTGTAAATTCCAATTTGGTTACTTATACCTAAACTGAAATTTTACTTATTTAAGTGACCATTTGAGGATTTTGAAATTTAAAAATCATTTTTTATGTCATTTTCCTCTAAATTTTACCATGTCAGTTTTTTTTGCCAACAAAGTTTAGGCGTCAAATACTCATCCATAAATAATTTAAGGGTAAAAATACTTTCTAATAAAAAATTAACTTGAAGTTTTTTTTTTAGCTGAATAAAAATTAACTTCAAGTTAATGGTTAATTATCAATGTCCAATAACTAAGAGATGATATCACAACGATTTCGACAATTGAAAAATAATGTTATTATTTCAATACATAGTTTATAATAACCGATGCTTCTCATGAAATAATTAAAGGACAAAAAATGGGCTTTTATCCATTTTTTGACTTCAAAAAAATAAATCAAGCAAATTAAAGGAGGACTTACTCACAAATGACTTTCATATCAGGATTTTGTTTGTCAATTTCCTACATTATAATATAATTTACCTCAAACTTTATATTCTGCCCATAGAGAATATCCCAAGGCTTGGCAAGGGGAAAAAAAGAAGAAGAAGAGAATATCCAAGGTGTCCTTCTTTCTTTCTTTCTTTTCCTCTTAGAGATACGTGTTTTTTTTAATTAAAAACAATCACATTTGAAATATTATTTGACACATATTTTAACGAGTATTTAAATTTTGATTTATTATATTATGATAAACCCTCTTCTGCTAAATTCAACCTTAATTGGTTGTGGTATCTTTTTTTATTTATTTTGTCCTATATTTATATTTATAGTTCTATTAGAGTTATTTGTATATTTATAGAGGCCCCTGTCCCCCCGTGTGGCGCCAACCCTAACTCACCATCTTCCCCTGCCCTACCTTTTCTCAAGACACAGAATTAGGTGCGCTCTCTCTCTCTCTCTCTCTCTCTCTGCCAACACTTACATCAAGCTGTTTCGCTGCAGTTTTGCATCATTCTTCTCACCCTCTTCGTGCATGAAACTTTTTGCTCTCAGAGATTCACTATGGGCAAGTACATGAAGAAATCGAAAATCGCAGGTGATGTTGCCGTCGTGAAGGTTCCGACTCAGTCCTCACTGGGCGTTCGCACCAGAGCCAAAACCCTTGCATTACAGAGCCATTGCAAGTCATCTTCGTCTTCCTCACCCATGGATGCTGATGGGTCTTCCTTTTCCTACCTCCAACTCCGAAGCCGGCGCCTCCGGAAGGTAATGGTCGGCAGCAAGAAGCCACCGCCGTCACCGCCGAAGTCTCACGGCAACTGTTGCAGAGGAAGTCCTCACTCTGATTGTCGTGGCATGATTGCGAATTCGAAGGTGAGAGAAAGTTCGGTGAAACCAGTGTCGTTAATTAATGAGAAGGGGCATTTTGTCGGGGAAATTGCGAAGGGAACTGACGATGAGGAAGATGTTGATATGTGTGTTGAGAGTTCGTTCGGAGAAAATGTCTCAGATGTTGAAGATAAAGACAGGTACTATATTGCTTCTTAAATTCGCCTTTGAAATTTCATTTTCCCGAGTTTTCTTTCACTAATTTCTCTGAAGGTTTGTACTCTTTTTTTTTTTTTTTTAATGCTGCTTTTGATAATTGAGGCTTACTCCTTCCTGACTTTCTAGGCGAAGGGTTGCTAGATTTACTTGTCCATTTCTTGCGTATATCGTGTAATTTTTTTCTCTTCTTTTCTATGTGTATGTTTTTTGGCCATTAATTGGCTTTTTTTCTTGAGATTCTAAAGTACAAACAACAATAAATAGAGGGAAAAATGATTTCTTGAAGATTAATGTTTAATTTTACTAGCATAAAGGCTTACCATGACCTTTTTTGTGTGTCTGATGTGTGGTCTCAGTCTGAAATTTTGTTTTATGTTATTTCGCTTTCATTTGATTACTGCATTCTAAAATCTTTGTAACCTGAGCACGAAGGAAAGGGACAGTGGTCACAAGGGTCGGTCAAATTTTAGCATTTGTGACCTGTGAGAGGTTCTGCAACAATGTCCAGTTCTCAGAAGGGTTATTTATTGCTGCTAGTTGCATCTTCCCTGATCCTTTCTAAGGAAGTTTTATCTTTTCCAGTGGAGGGGAACCAGTGAAATGGACTGATTACTGTGTTGCAAACCTGCAATTATTTTGAACCATACTTTTGAAGGATTAAATTAGGAGACTAGCGTTTTGAAGTACCGAAGGAAAGATATTAATATTTTTCAAAAATTGAAAACAATAATTTAGTCAAAGAAATCTAGGTAGTTGTTTCTGACTTTCTGTTGTGATTCCATCATGTTTTTCACCTTGATTGTCCTTGTTGTTTGTAATGAATGTGAAAGATTTTGGCCGTCTCTTGCTCTGTATCTTTTCTCTAACGTTTGAGCCCACTGTGTCAGACCCTGTCCCATTAAATGCTAGCTATACTTTTTTAGAATAGCTACTTGTCTTTAGTTTCAACTTGAACAGATTTTGTAGGGGAAAGATGTTCACTTTTCAATTCTCATAAATATCAAGTGACATGTTATGCTGTCAGCTAGCATCACACAGATTTCTGGTGCAGAAACTTTTGGATTCTCTAGGCCAATAGTTTTATTTATAAGCAAGTCATGTTTAACTAATTTAAATCCCTGTATTTAGCAAAGAAAAGAATTACACAACAACGAGGAAGAGAAGGTCAAGTAACTTCCAACATTAAAAGTTGCTGGAAGCACTTTAATCTTTTTCTCTTCCTATTTTGTTGACTGGGCTCTTTTTTTCTTTTAGCATTTTAGGCACTGATTTTTTGTTGGCATTTTTTTGTGTGGTTAAACAGGAGTACAGGGGATAGCCCTCCTTGTAGTTTAACATGGGACTCTAATACTATGAGCACCCCTGCATCAACCACAAAGCAAATTGCATGCGAACACGTGCCAAGGAATATTCCAACGGCTTACGAGATGGAAGAGTTCTTTGCTTTTGCAGAGAAGCAGCAACACAGAATCTTTATGGAGAAGTATTCTGCCTTTATCACTACCCCCCCCCCCCAAAAAAAAAAAACCCACTTCTTTTGGAGAGTTACGTTTTATCCTTCAAATTGCTTGACAAGAAGCAATCTTTATCCTATGGCATAAATTTAATGTACTAATTATAGTTGCATACTATTTTTCTTTTCTTTTTATTTGCTGTTTCTCCCTTTCAAGTTTTGTCTTATGTAATTATGAAAGTAAGTAATATGGGTTCTATTTTGCAGGTATAACTTTGACGTTGTGAATGATGTACCTCTCCCAGGTCGGTATGAGTGGGTCCAAGTACTTCACTAGACCAAGCCTATTGGGGCTTGCGTAGAGGGAAAATTGCTCTAAGAAATGGGATTTGTAAATTTTAGATTGAATAATCTTAAAACTATAATCATTATTGAAAACTAAAATTATTATTAAATTTTGGGGAAGTTACTGCTAAAGTCAATCAAAATTATAATGTACATAAGATTGAAGGGTAACTTTCTTAAAATTTGATAATGTTTTGAGTTTTTTCTAAAAGTAATTATAGTTTTCAAAATCTTTTGATTTAGAATTTACAAAATCTGCATTGTCTTTGATGTAATTTTCCCATCTATGGATTTCAAGATGAGCTTAAAAGATGTAACTTAGCAACATGTAGGTTTACTTCTAATTGCTAACCAACAAGATAATTGAAGGAAGCCCTACCTCATCAGGAAAAAGGGAAGGATCTGATGTCCATTGGGACTTGGAATTTGTGGGGGTTTATCTAGATGTAGGCTTTTGTAGTTAATGTAATTTCTTTACTTGTTTGTTCATAATTAGGCGTAGGAATGAACCTTCGTGAAGTAGAGGATTCAATGTCAAGAACTGCAATCTTTGTGTGGGCTTTAACCTGGAAATTTAGCATTGCGTTTTCGTATCTCGACTATCTCACTATTGCTCGTCCGAACTGCACAAAAATTCAACGAATGTCTTTTAATTAATTAATTGCAATCCAGTTTCTCAATTTTTTTTTTAATATCTGATATTCTCTTTCGTTTAAGTGAGGCAATTCTCAGATATGATCCCATTACATTCAAATACTTAAAAAGATAGATATGACATTAGCAATTAACACTATAAATTAGTGTGATCTGTAATGTGTTCATGCAGAGTCAATCTAGACCTCGTGTCTATAATTGCTTCAATGAGGGCCAACGCTCATGTATTACTAATGTTAATACTACATGACAATACTTGTCTTTTTCAACAACTGCATGGTGTGAAAAAAAAAAAAATCCCCAACAAAAGTTGCATTAAACTCAAATCTAACCAAAGTCGTTTTTGCAAATCCAACCAAAGTTCTCTAAGTGCCGATCCATATACAGTGTCTTCAACCTGGAAACCTAGCACCCGCTTTCGAATCTTGTCTAACTTGCGCTCAATGATTGCCATTTAATTTCGGTCTCTTAATTTTTAATCATATCATATTTATCCCCCATATTTTTATTGTTCTTGAATTATCCTAACCGAATATAAAACAAGATAAATATTAATAATGATATCCTTTTTATGTCAATTCAATATGAAATATCTGCATCTTCTCCTGTCACGAATGGTAGAGACTTTACCGTGTGATTATGAATATTCGAGGCAATAACCTCGTAGGCATAAGGGTCACTATTCTTTTTCAAATAATTTCAAATATCATATCAACACCAATTAGTCAACATGCTCGATAAACCAACCCAAATGAATTTGAACTGATAACCAAATTTCAGTTATATAGCAGAAAACATGCACTATACAAGTTCACAGCTGAAATATGCTGCCTACCAAAATTAATTCCCCTTGAACAAATTACAGTACATGGTGAAATGCTACAAACAATTGTGCCGAATAATCGTCACAGAAGGTTAAAGAGCAACTTATGAGATATTATTGTAAATTCAGATCTTCTAGTGTAGTCCATAGGGAAAAGAATCAGCTGATGTAGTTAGACAAAAACAAAATTCTTTTACAATGAGGCATCCCCAATGATCATGGAAATATAACGTAGTTGGCAGTTAACTATTTAAGGGTGATATTGCAGGCTACCTAGCAGGCTTTTCAGAAGAAGACGGAGCCTTCTCAGCCATGGCAGAAGTAGCAGAAGATTCCTGAGCTTCAACAAGCTGCTTAAGCCTTGCCTGAAGACCTCGAACTCTGTCCTCAGTTTTGCGAAGCTTTCTCCATCGGTAGGCAGTCCAGAGACCAAAGCCACCATATACAACAATATAGGAACCCCACACATAAGGATACGTTTCCGCGTGCTCTTTAATTTTGTGATACTGATTTTCTAAAGTTTCCATCAAACCAGCAGAAGGACCTGCAGCTACATGGTCCTCATCAGTTTTCTGGACAGGTGTTGAATTTGTTGCTTGCTTCTTTTCCTCTTTTGGTTTTGTTGCCATGCCCCTCTTTCAATGATGTTCTGTCATTGATCATATAAGATCATTGCATAAGTAACCACCATTTCAAGCATCCTATTATTTAAAGGCAAATGAAACAGCTACTCTTACAGCCAGATCCAGAGGTATCATTAAAAGTACATACATGGAAATGGACAAGTTAAACTAAAGCTATAAACATCATTGTGTGCAGAAAATTAATCTAGAAAACATCAGTGTACATGAGAATTGCTACCACAACAAAAAATAAGGATATGTACGTTTGTGTATATGAAAGTGGAAAAAGGATATCTTGAAGCATTATGATAGAAGAACGTGAAATGCAAATGCTACCAATAGTAAACCACGAATGCAAGGGAATCGAGACAGAGATTTTAATGTAAAGCATCTGACATTCTGTGCAATGAAGGCTAAAACCACCACTTTTACATACTAAATGAAGTCTCCATTAAATCTATATATGCATACATGATACAACCACTGGCATTAAAAGTTAAGCTTAAGCACTAGATTCAACAAATTTATAACTTGCAGACGTATGATATTCCAATATCATATAAATAGTGTTTATCAAACACCGACAAAATAGCCTATAAAGTCTATACCAGCTATTGGTGGCTCCCCATCTCCAAGAGTACTATTACAATCCCTATAATCGCCCCCTTCTCTATTTTTGCCATCATCAAGATAGTCAATAACATCAAAAAGCTCCAAGTCATCATGAATAAGTCACACTCAATATTTGAACACTCCATCTCACTTCTACTCCACCTTGTTGTCGACTAAATCCTCTGTGCGCCTTTTCTAGTTTTCTTTCACTCTCTAATAATAGAACAGGATCTTCCTTCTCCCCAGGACATTTACCATAATATCATGGATGATCAACATCTGCTTCCATTTTCAATTGCTTTTAGCTAATCAAACACAAATTACCAGCATGCGGAAGACAGAAATTAGGCCGAAACTGTGTACAAGCATAAAGGTATGCATCACAAGTGTGCCTTTACTTCAAACCAGTGCAATTTCACTTCCTGCTGGCTTGAGTTGTAGAGCAAAATCTTGAGTGTTTTACATGTTTAAAACCATATACATAACAAATAATAAGATGAGATCCCAGTAAGCACATTTCTCTCAGTTAAAACACATATAAAGAAAGATCAATTCTTACTGGGCAAATAAGTCAAGAAGGAAGGCAAGTGGTATAGTATAACTTCCCAAAGCATTAAACAAAAAAAATTAACAAATCTCCCAAACTAAGCTTCATTGCAAAGAGAAAAGAAGACGATAAAATTTATAACATTCAACTCACCATCCCTTGTCCATTGAATAAAAATATTAAACATGTTCTTATTTTCATCACAACAATAACCAATAGAACACATTGCGATCGGTACTCTCAAACCAAGGGAGAATGAAAGATCAGCGGAGAGTTGAAAGGAACTATCCGGAACTCACTTTTTGCAAACACTCCAAAGAGCACGAACGGCCAAGAGCAAGGAACGACGACGAAATACGGTGATAGGGAGAGGAAGAAAGGCAAAGACGGACGACGCATGAACGACAGACGCGAATGTCGGACGGGGAAGAAGCTAAATATCGAACAGTAGATAAGAACGCCGAACTCTGCCGAAGAAGGGGGATCTGTCGGTGGTAATATGCAAAATTGAAATCACTATGGGAAGCTCCAATGAGAGTAACATTAAATCGCTAATAAAGAGAAAACATGAGCGCTAACAGGTACGGAAAGGAGATAGTGCATAGGAGAAGGATTTTAATTCAAGAAAAATCCCCATCATACATTAAACATCTGCATCTATCTATACAATGCATCGAACTATTTGTCATGACCATTAAATTGAGAGCTGCGATGGTGAAAAAAAGGAAGAGGACAGAAGAAAGATGGCGAGGAACTCACAGAGGTGTGGCTGAGATGAGAGCAAGCGGAGCTGGCTGCGACGTACCGACCAGATTTATATCAGCCCGTGCGCCGCCGTCGACTACCTTCTGAGTTCTGCCGTCTGCTATTTTCTGTTGCCGAGCGCGGACCAGTAGAGAAGCCTGGAACTTCCACTGTACGCTGTTTGGGCTGGAAGGATGAAGCGTAGTCTGTAGAGCCGAAAATGAAATGGGACCGTGCATCGTCCGGGTTTAGGGTTTAAAAAAATTAAGACAACAATTTCTTCTCCAAAAGCAAAACATCCTGGATATGTTTTATCAAAATTATTATTTATCTTTATTTCTAAACTAATTTTTAAAAAATTAAGGGAAAATGACACATAAAAAAACCTGAAAATATGAAATGCCAAAATAGGAAGCTTAGCAAATATATTGACAAATAGAAAAGTGTTGCCTGGTTGGAGATTATGCAAATGTTGAGCAATTATCAAAAAACCCTTCATGGCCCAAATAGGAAAAATGACCGGTGGAGCTGTGAAAGTTGTGACGGGAGCTAAAGGAAAAAGTTTGAAGGGACCATGAACATGGCAGCATGAATGTGTGAAGCAAGAGTTGAATGAAGTAAGCAAATGAGGTTAGTATTCAGTGACTATATTGTTCTTCTCTCTCTTTTTTCGGTCTCCTTTATGCACTGGTTGATGTTCCTCTTCCTATTGGATGACAATGTCATTGATGTGGGGCTAATTTTGAGGTTGAGAGGGTGGCAAAGCAGAGAGATGGTGTGGGTATATAGAAACTGTGAGGAAGGACGGTGATCAAAGGGTGAATGCATGGGAAACAAAAACACTGAGGGAGGGATTTGATGGTGTCACAAATAGGTCAGAATGATTAGTGTTAGATAAAGGCATAATGTTAAAGGGAGATTCGAATAATGGAGTGGATTGATTCTAAGAAAATGAAACATTAGTGTGGACAGGAAAAAATGAGTGTTTTGTTGCAAATTATAAGCATGAATGTGTCAAACCCTAATCTGGTCGTGTAAGTTGATGATGATGGTCATTTCCAAATAATTCACTGTCATTACCAACATGGCCATTACAGAGTAACAGTAAGGTCATTACTATGAATATGGTCATTTCTAATTAATTCATTGTCATTACCAATATAGTCATTACAGATTGATAGTAAGGTCATTACTATGAATATGGTTATTTCTAATTAATTCATTGTCATTACCAATATGGTCATTTCAAGTTCCTTCATAGTCATTTACCAGTATATTATTATCATTTCCAGTTCGTTCATATAATCTTTTCAGTCAATTAGACAGTAAGGTCATTACTATGAATATGGTCATTTCAAGTTCCTTCATAGTCATTTACGACTATGTTATTATCATTTCCAATTCGTTCATATAATCTTTCCAATCAATCAGACAGTAAAGTCACTACTATAAATATGGTCATTTCCAGTTCTTTCATGGTCATTTACCAGTATGTTATTGTCATTTCCTATTAGTTCATATAATCTTTCTAGTCAATTAGACAATAAGGTTATTACTATGAATATAGTCATTTCAAGTTCCTTCATAGTC